GAGTATGGTGATTATAGCAATCCCCAGAGTGTAGTTTCTCCAATCCCCCAAACATGAGCCGAAACTTCATGAAGGTACAAGATGATCTGACTCCAATGAGCGTTTATTACTGCTTATATACAAGTTTTCAGGTCAGAGGCACACCCCTGGACCTGGTGGTAAACTGTGACAAAAGGGACACAAACCAATGGGAACACTAATTAACATGATAACACTCTCACATACACAATGAAATCCCTCCTCTCCATCCTGGAGATAATTGGCTTAAGGCACTGCAGTAAACTCAATTATCTCCAGGTACAAAAAATATCTACATTTAACACTAACAGCAAAAATACGTAAAAGTACATAAAAATACATAATTCTTATTTTATTACACAGAACCCCCACATTTAACCTCTCCCCAGATAGCTCGGATCTGAGCGCCCAATCTAGGTGAACAATAGACAGGAAACGGGGGAGGGGAAGAAACACACCTTCCCATGGATTCCAATGGGAAGAAACTGTCTTTAGAAGCCAATAAGCCCCAAATGGTCTTTTTTAAATGGCAATACACCCCAGGGCCATAGTCATGAGGAAGGAGGCTGGCAATCAGGCTCCTCCAAAAGCCGGGGGCAAAGGGCAGCTTGTCACCTAACAATCCAGGGACAAAAAGTCATTTCGTCACACATCTCCCCTTTGGGGGGGGGAGACTAACCAGGTACCTGACCTGTCGGTCAGTGCCTGAGTTAGTCGATAAACCCACCCACAGTGAACAAGTACATGAGTAGCCCACCCACAACACACATTTACTGCACCTGGGTATTCCTCTGAGGTCACTGGGTAACACGCTTTGGGTGCTTGGGGGGCAGAGGCCAACTGCGCTCTGCCCCGATGCCAGCGCTTCGGCTGGGGCAGCTGGGTTAGGCCTTGGCTGGGGAGGGGAAATAGTACTTACCCCCTCTTCCTGGTGTCCCTGCAAGGGTAGTTGGGGATCTGGACAGGCTGTCCAACATCCCTGTAAGTCGGGTGCAGAGACCACGGTCTCCTCTGCACCTTCTGGGAGACTAGTGTCTCCTCTTTGTGGGGTAAGTTGCCACTGGGAAGGAAGGACGGCACCTTCGGCTCCCTGGGATACACACTGCCGCTGGGGAGGAAGGACGGCACCTTCAGCTCCCTGGGATACACACTGCTGCTGGGGAGGAAGGATGGCACCTTCAGCTCCCTGGGATACATACTGCCGTTGGGGAGGAAGGACGGCACCTTCTGCTCCCTGGGGTACACACTGCCGCTGGGGAGGAAGGATGGCACCTTCAGCTCCCTGGGATACATACTGCCGCTGGGGAGGAAGGATGGCACCTTCTGCTCCCTGGGGTACACACTGCCGCTGGGGAGGAAGGACGGCACCTTCTGCTCCCTGGGATACACACTGCCGCTGGGGAGGAAGGACGACACCTTCAGCTCCCTGGGATACACACTGCCGCTGGGGAGGAAGGACGGCACCTTCAGCTCCCTGGGATACATACTGCCGCTGGGGAGGAAGGACGGCACCTTCAGCTCCCTGGGATACATACTGCCGCTGGGGAGGAAGGACGACACCTTCAGCTCCCTGGGGTACACACTGCCGCTGGGGAGAGAGACCGTTGTCTCTTCTCCCTTGTCAACACACTGCCGCTGGGGAGTCAGACCGACTGTCTCGACTCCCAGTGATGATGGTTGTTGCAGGGACGCGGGACCGACAATCTCCTCTCCCTGGGATGCTGTCTGCTGCTGGGGAGAGAGACCGGTTGTCTCCTCTCCCTTGACAACCCACTGCCGCTGGGGAGTCAGAGCGACTGTCTCAACTCCCAGTGATGATGGTTGCTGCAGGGACGAGGGACCGACAATCTCCTCTCCCTGGGATGCTGTCTGCCGCTGGGGAGAGAGATCAATTGGCCACAGCCCCAATCTCCGCAATCGGAGCTCAAATTCCCATGCCACTCGATTCTCCTCATCCAACTTGCGCATGGTTGCCAGAATCGCCTCTGTCGAAAGATTCGGGCCATATCTGGTTAACCGCCTCTTGACCTCCTCCCTGTAAGCGTCGCCCTCAAAGCGATAGGTCATGTTTGCTGTGAACAGGGGCGCTGTACGAATACTAGCGTTGCCCTCAAATTGTAATTCCAAATGTTACCGGTGCCTCTGCGCTGCTTCTCCTCGCACTAGGACGCCATCCCACCGCTGCCACCACTGTAACGGAACCGCTGGCACCCCGACCGGGTACCTTCCGCCGACGGATGCTCCTAGTGCTTTCCGAGGACTCCAAGCACTCTGCCTGACACCATAACCACTGCAGACCCCACGAACCGCCGCAGCTTGGTTGGGGTCTCGCCGTCTCCACCCACTCTGGACCCAGGACCAGGGTCCAGCTTCCAGCAGGTCGACCTCTCTCCGAATTCCAGAGAGCAGGAACAGGAACAAGCTCTTAGCAGAGCTTAGTGATTATACCCTGGGGAGTATAGTGATTATAGCAATCCCCAGAGTGTAGTTTCTCCAATCCCCCAAACATGAGCCGAAACTTCATGAAGGTACAAGATGATCTGACTCCAATGAGCGTTTATTACTGCTTATATACAAGTTTTCAGGTCAGAGGCACACCCCTGGACCTGGTGGTAAACTGTGACAAAAGGGACACAAACCAATGGGAACACTAATTAACATGATAACACTCTCACATACACAATGAAATCCCTCCTCTCCATCCTGGAGATAATTGGCTTAAGGCACTGCAGTAAACTCAATTATCTCCAGGTACAGAAAATATCTACATTTAACACTAACAGCAAAAATACGTAAAAGTACATAAAAATACATAATTCTTATTTTATTACACAGAACCCCCACATTTAACCTATCCCCAGATAGCTCGGATCTGAGCGCCCAATCTAGGTGAACAATAGACAGGAAACGGGGGAGGGGAAGAAACACACCTTCCCATGGATTCCAATGGGAAGAAACTATCTTTAGAAGCCAATAAGCCCCAAATAGTCTTTTTAAATGGCAATACACCCCAGGGCCATAGTCATGAGGAAGGAGGCTGGCAATCAGGCTCCTCCAAAAGCCGGGGGCAAAGGGCAGCTTGTCACCTAACAATCCAGGGACAAAAGGCATTTCGTCACACCCATCTATCACAATGTCCTCAGTCTGTAATACAGAGAGTGCTGAGAGGGAACAGGGATAATATCACAATGTCCTCAGTCTGTAATACAGAGAGTGCCGAGAGGGAACAGGGATATCCCACCTATCACAATGTCCTCAGTCTGTAATACAGAGAGTGCCGAGAGGGAACAGGGATATCCCACCTATCACAATGTCCTCAGTCTGTAATACAGAGAGTGCCGAGAGGGAACAGGGATATCCCACCTATCACAATGTCCTCAGTCTGTAATACAGAGAGTGCTGAGAGGGAACAGGGATATCCCACCTATCACAATGTCCTCAGTCTGTAATACAGAGAGTGCCGAGAGGGAACAGGAATATCCCACCTATCACAATGTCCTCAGTCTGTAATACAGAGAGTGCTGAGAGGGAACAGGGATATCCCATCTATCACAATGTCCTCAGTCTGTAATACAGAGAGTGCTGAGAAGGAACAGGGATACCCAGCACTATTATGGCGGCTGCGTAGTTTAAAGCTCCATGATATTTTATGAAAAGGTAACGCATCGTATTAAATGAAAGATTATTTTCTAAAGATGGAGGACGGCCTTTTTCATGTAACGTCATGCAATGAATGTTTGTTTTTGAGTCCCTCTTGGTATACAGGACATGGGGGGGGCTCATCACTTTCTCACTCACAATAAGAAACACATCTTAGGGAAAATATATGGTAAGAAATCTAAGCACGCCGTCCAACGCCACCATTACTAACCTGTGGTATTTTTAAATTTTTTTAAAAATTTTTTAGATTGTTTCGTGCATTTACAATAACAGTTGGGGATTTTTCACTAATGATAGAATTGTCTTGAGCTGGTCGGTGAATTGAAAAATGTAGACCTACTCGACCGAGCTGAGGAGATCGCTTCCAATCTGTCTACGTTCAGCAGAATTCACCGTTTTGGGAATAAACCTTTCAGTTTTCTTCTTCTTCAGTAATACAAATATTATCACTTTACCAAAATTACAGAATTAAGAAGTAGACGGTCTGTAACATCAGTCAGTATTCAGTGATACACAGTCGGCAGGGCAGAACGCGATGGCGCTATTCGATGGATGGTAATTTATGTAGAAGATGATCCCCCACTCCTCTCGCTGCTGGGAGAGCACTTTAAGTGCAGCTGGTCCTTTAACGTATCTTCATGCCGTGTCTCCAGCACTCAGCAGATGGGAATATGCTGCTCTAATCATGAATGTTTCTTTTAATACAAAAGGATCGCTCCCTATGGGTGTTCCTGCTTAAAGCACTTTTGGTCTGCAGGAAAATGCACTTAAGCCGACAAAAGTTCTGTATGTATTCTGAGAGAAAAAAAAACAGAGCGTGTAGCTAAAGCTGGCAGTAACTGCGGCGCAGCGTCTCAAAGTAAATTATCTTCTCATAAAGAATTAAAAGAAAAAATGGCTCTGAAACTTTTTTGTTCTTTGTTTTGTTGTTTTTTTTATCTGATTTTATTTACGGTTTTGCGATTCAGACCTTTGTTATTTTTTTTAAGGTTGTCACCGTGAGTTCCCTTTATACACTGAATATTGTATTGATCCAGAAGATTCCAGTTGTTTTAACCCTTTGAGCCCTAGTTGGCTGAGGATGATATTCCTCTGTGAAAGGTTGTAGAAATGGCTGTTGGTGATAGGTATGGTCATTGGATAACATGACGAAGCATGAATCTTCTCGTTGTATCTCTACATTCGAGGAGGAAGCCATACCCTCTTCTTTGACCCTGTATATGTTCGTCCCCAAGTCCTCATCTCTCCTCACCAGCTTTGAGTGTGGTCCATAAACCGAGGCTTATGATTCGTGTAACCTCTTCCTGGTTTGGGAAGAGCTACTACCTTGTTGAGTAGGATGTCCGAGCTGTAAATGCCAGATGTAGGAAGTCCAAGCTGTAAATGCCGGATGTAGGAAGTCCGAGCTGTAAATGCCGGATGTAGGAAGTCCGAGCTGTAATTGCTGGATGTAGGATGTCCGAGCTGTAATTGCCGGATGTAGGAAGTCCGAGCTGTAAATGCTGGATGTAGGACGTCGGAGCTGTAAATGCCGGATGTAGGACGTCGGAGCTGTAATTGCCGGATGTAGGATGTCCGAGCTGTAATTGCCGGATGTAGGATGTCCGAGCTTTAATTGCCGGATGTAGGATGTCCGAGCTGTAATTGCTGGATGTAGGAAGTCTGAGCTGTAAATGCCGGATGTAGGAAGTCTGAGCTGTAAATGCCGGATGTAGGAAGTCCGAGCTGTAAATGCCGGATGTAGGATGTCCGAGCTGTAATTGCCGGATGTAGGACGTTGGAGCTGTAAATGCCAGATGTAGGAAGTCCGAGCTGTAAATGCCGGATGTAGGAAGTCCGAGCTGTAAATGCCGGATGTAGGATGTCCGAGCTGTAATTGCCGGATGTAGGATGTCTGAGCTGTAAATGCCGGATGTAGGAAGTCCGAGCTGTAAATGCCGGATGTAGGATGTCTGAGCTGTAATTGCCGGATGTAGGATGTCCGAGCTGTAATTGCTGGATGTAGGAAGTCTGAGCTGTAAATGCCGGATGTAGGAAGTCCGAGCTGTAAATGCCGGATGTAGGATGTCCGAGCTGTAAATGCCGGATGTAGGATGTCTGAGCTGTAATTTCTGGATGTAGGATGTCCGAGCTGTAATTGCTGGATGTAGGACGTTGGAGCTGTAAATGCCGGATGTAGGATGTCTGAGCTGTAAATGCCGAATGTAGGACGTCTGATCTGTAAATGCCAGATGTAGGATGTCCGAGCTGTAAATGCCGGATGTAGGATGTCCGAGCTGTAAATGCCGAATGTAGGACGTCTGATCTGTAAATGCCAGATGTAGGACGTCCGAGCTGTAAATGTGGGATTAGCTGTGTTTTTTCAATGCGTGCTGTGTGAGAGACAGTTGGTCTGTCAATTAACATGTACAGGAATATTAAAAAAGAATTCAAAGTCAATTTAAAATGGCAGACAAAATAGCTGAACTGGAAGCTTATACAGGGCTATTCACTAATGTGAGAATTCAAAGACAATTTCAAATTTAAGGCCAGAGTAGCAGAACCAGAAGCATTGCTAACCTAGAGAATGTTTCCAGTTTGGCTAGTTTGGCCTGACATTTGAAATTGTCTTAGAATTCCTGTCGGTTCCCACTTGAGTAAATGCCCAGTAATAGATGGTTTGTTAATGATATCCAGTGATGGACTGGGAAGAGAGGTAGTTATGGTTTCAGGGGTGACAGGTTCATGGTAGGCCACTTGGTGCATTTTTTAAATAATATCAGTTTTATGAAGCCTTTGCTCAAACTGATACGAAGTAAAGAATGTTTCAGGTATCAGGACCTTTCAACTGTTAGGTTTATCATTTCATGAGCAACTCTTTTTCTTTTCCAAAAATATTACGTAGTGTTGCTCCCTATAACTTTACTTAACCCCCTAGCCGTGACTTTATTAGTCTCCTTAACTTAGCGTAACAGGTCCCATAAATGAACTGCCCCTCATTAGTTAAACAGACCCCAAAAGTTGAGTTAACAGGTCCGGTATTGTAACAGTCCAATCATATGGCCCCTTTAACTTAGTATAAACCAGTCTCCTTACCATTAACCAGTCTCCATAATTAAACTTAACTGGTCCCCATAACATCACTTACCTGGCCATTTTAACTGATCCCCTTTACTTAACATAAACCAGTCCCCGTGATTTAACTTAACCAGTCTCTTTAACTTTCCGACTTCCCATACTTTAACTTTCCTGAACTCCGTAAGTTACAGCGGAAAATATACTGCACCAAAGACAACTGAGTGATCGAGAAAATACACAAAGCAATTCTTTTATTCTTTAACATATCATAAAGAAACCGTAAATGTCATGGGAAAAATACTAGATACAAAATGTTTTGTTTTTTATTCTCCGAGCTAACAATAAGCTATTCACAGTGTGCGTAACATAGAAACAGCGGGGAGTTTCAGAACAATGAGTGTACATGTAAATTGAGCTAAAAGTCACGGTAAAGTATCTGCTATTGAACACTCTTACTGCATCGCGTCACCTGTGATCTATTATTTTATGCTGCTGTTAATATTCATCGTTCTGGCGTTATGATGGTTTTGTTCTCCCTTGCATTGTCGCTGGTGTTCTTTGACATTGTTTGGGTAGCTCTAATAAACACTTATGTTACTGGTTCTGTACGTATCTGGGGTCAGCGCAGAAAGGAGACAAGTCAGCAGGAAAAAAAAGAGAAACTGCTCTGTTTGAATTTACTGCGTATATCTGCGCATTGTTGCAGACTGAAAAGCACATTAAAAAAATGCTCATGTTATGAAAACAGGAGAAATGTTCTCAGAATAAAAGAACACACGAATCCATCTCCAAGTAGACAATCCATAAGTGACAATAACAGACACATAACATGGGAGATAAGAGCATTTTAAAAGGAAATAAATAAATTAAGTTAGATATTATTGCGTGCTTTGTTTGTTTTTTTAAACACAGCTCTCATTGCTGATTAACATAATTCACTCTTCTGCCACCACGGCTCACTAAACCAGACACGGATCCTACGACCTGAAATTATCAGTGAAATCCTGACTATTTACACTATAGTAAATGGCCCTGTGTGCGTCTTGTGATGTCTCTGATTTGGTGGGAACCGACCAGCTCAAGACTTGGGACTATTTCACATAGACGGAGGAGTCATGGGAAGATTTAGTGAGTTTGCATTATGTAAATGAGTGCACCAATTGGTTATTAAAGTCCAAATGCCTCTTTCACACTTTTAACTTTCTTTTTCGCCCCGTTGCTCCTTCAACCACCAACCACCATAAACTTTGCAACTCACTTCACCGAGAAGATTTCTACCATCTGGGAAGAAACCTCTCATCTCTCTCCTTCCCCTTACAATACTTTCCCCAACCCCACTCCCTCTATTCTAAACTCATTCGCACCCACTATAGCGGGAATGGTCTCTCTCATCATCTTCGCTCTGCCGGAGACCTGCGTATATCCTCTGTCCACACTCCTACATCTGATACTCGCTTTCATGACTTCTCTAGGGCTGCACCATTCCTGTGGAACTCCATTCCTTTCTCCGAGTCTCCATTAATTAAAAAAAATAATTGAATTATTGAAAACTCACTTTTTTCAGGAAAGCGTATTAACTAAACTGTAAATAGCCCCTCCACCGCACCCTGATTTCTCCCCTGCATCTGTCATCGAAACACTAAGTCTTCAGTGAATACTATCTTAGCAACCTATCATTTGTGTCACTATACCCCACTCCCTCTAGCATGTAAACTCACTGAGCAGGGCCCTCAGTCTCTCTGTTACTGTGTCACTATACCCCACTCCCTCTAACATGTAAACTCACTGAGCAGGCCCTCAATCCCTCTGTTACTGTGTCACTATACCCCACTCCCTCTAACATGTAAACTCACTGAGCAGGGCCCTCAATCCCTCTGTTACTGTGTCACTATACCCCACTCCCTCTAACATGTAAACTCACTGAGCAGGGCCCTCAATCCCTCTGTTACTGTGTCACTATACCCCACTCCCTCTAACATGTAAACTCACTGAGCAGTGCCCTCAATCCCTCTGTTACTGTGTCACTATACCCCACTCCCTCTAACATGTAAACTCACTGAGCAGGCCCTCAATCCCTCTGTTACTGTGTCACTATACCCCACTCCCTCTAACATGTAAACTCACTGAGCAGGCCCTCAATCCCTCTGTTACTGTGTCACTATACCCCACTCCCTCTAACATGTAAACTCACTGAGCAGGCCCTCAATCCCTCTGTTACTGTGTCACTATACCCCACTCCCTCTAACATGTAAACTCACTGAGCAGGCCCTCAATCCCTCTGTTACTGTGTCACTATACCCCACTCCCTCTAACATGTAAACTCACTGAGCAGGCCCCTCAATCCCTCTGTTACTGTGTCACTATACCCCACTCCCTCTAACATCTAAACTCACGGAGCAGGGCCCCCAATCCTCTGTTACTGTGTCACTATACCCCACTCCCTCTAACATGTAAACTCACTGAGCAGGCCCTCTATTCCTCTGTTACTGTGTCACTATACCCAGTGGTGTATCCTGGTTTTGTGCTGCCCTAGGGAGTTTTATAAAGCGCAGAATAAACCAAAACCTGCACTCTTGTAATACCTGAGGCTCACCCGTTAGCCGTACTGTCTCCAGGAGTGTGTGTAAATAAGTGGGAGTCTCCCCCCATTATACCTCTGTAAGTATTTCTCACGTGTGGTACAGTGGATCCATTACAGGAGATTAAATAGAGGGATCCAGTCTAAATATGTATATCCTGCATGATCAGGCAGCCCTCTATAACGAAATCAGTAGCACGGTAGTTAGATCTAATTGAATGCAGGAGGAACGCCCTTCTATGCAGTCATCGAGGTCTTGTACAGGTACAAGCCTGTGTGATGAACAAATGGACGGCACCGTAGAGCGTTCTCTAATAACGTGACCGAATTCCGTGTCAGCATCCGGCTGATAGCCTGAGCGGGCCGCACCTGTTAATAATCAAACAGTAGAGTCTACATTCATGACCGGTTCTCTCTATGAGAATGTGTCACTCCAAACAAGTCCTCTATATCCCGCTCAGTATCGGGCTGAGGTTGAGGGAGGGCCGCGCCCTCTAATAACAAATCAGTGTCCGGTTCTGTATAGGAGAGGGGTTCGCTCTCTGTTCCTGAAAATAAAATATCATTCTCAGACCGAGGTGATGGAGGGCCGCACCCTCATGTGATCCAAACTAGACTCAGGGTGACCAACTGCAGGGGTACACCAATTACTAATATCAGCATAAGACTGAGGTCCTTAGGTGGGTCTCTCCCGGACCACGAAACCTCTCTCTGAATTGCTCACCTGAAAAGGAATCAACTGGTAGTAAACCAGACCAACGGCAGATGGGAAAGTATACAACCTTGGGTCGTGTCCATTCTTAATAACAGAAAGGGATGGTGCAAAAATGCAACCTTCAGAAACAATGATGGAAACTACCAACTGACCGCCCGGATCCCGTGTGCGCGCGCGGGGTCCAGGATGACCGTCGGTAGCCTGAGGAAAGCTGGAGACGTTTTCCGCAATCCACGAGCGCCCGGGAGGTTGGAGGAGGTCGAGTCAGGCCTCTCGACGACCCGAGCGTTAGGAAAAGGAAGGCATGAAAACAAAAACAATAAGAAATGTAGATAAGGGTAAATACGTAAATTCTAACTCGGATAGAAGGCAAATAGCAGGCCGGAAGGCAAGTCAAGTAAGCCCCACTGAACAGGGCCAGGAGCTAACCTTACGCAGGAATAACTACCGATATCTAGATGGATATCGGGAGGCAGTTAGAGGGTTAGTTGTTAAAGACAAGGAAACACTGTGTCCCCCTGTAGGCATCTGAGTACCGCTCCCTGCCTGTGCGAAGTTCTCCTTGGAGATGTGCCGTTGCCGGGCTGGTGTAAACTGTGGATGCGTGACGGGGTCTTCATAAGAAAACCTTGCCCTTCAGGCATGAGGTTTAGGGCCTTCACCCTTCCCACTATACTCAGGTGGCCGTATACTGGTGTCCTCTTGGATAGTATGGCAACGGTGCTTGCCTGGACACCTGCCTATCTCCATGTCACTAGTGGGTACTGGGTTTTCCTCCGTGATATTCCCCCAGATAGAGCAGGCCCGTCAGAAGGGCACAGGCCCAGCAGGCCAAACGAATGGGCACAGAATAGTTGGCCAATCAAATAGGCACAGACATAGCAGGCCAATCAATGGGGCACAGACATAGCAGGCCAGTCAATGGGGCACAGACATAGCAGGCCAATCAAAGGGGCACAGACATAGCAGGACAATCAATGGGGCACAGACATAGCAGGCCAATCAAAGGGGCACAGACAGAGCAGGCCCTTGATAGCGTTCCGACAGCCGTAGGGCCCATCTGCGTGTGTAGAGTACACTATATATATATATATATATATATATATATATGTGCGTAATGAAACAGGGAAACCTTGGGTTAAATAATTACAATATGTAAAACCCACTAGCAGGGTAGTAATGTGATTATAACAGTATTTTTACATAATTCCTCTGGATTAAGTTGCTATTATGTCTCCAGTCTAATATCACAGATGTTACAGCTACTAGTGATGAAGTGCTATACCACTATACAGGGAACTGGCAGACTTTAATGTTTGGCCAAAAGGCAGAAAACCAAACTGCAGGCATCTCAGAGCAGTACAGGGTGTACTGCCTAAAGCCTATTCTCCAGCCCAGAAAAATATTTATATAAAATGATATAAATGTGGAGTCATCTTGGGTTATAGATTAACCCTGAGAAGGGTGAAGGGCTCTCATCTGATATAAAAAACTGCGGCCGTGATCGGAATCCGGCCTTGATTGACAGAGGGGAGGAAAGCCCCTCAGTCAGACCTCCAACCAGTTAGGAACAGACGGGGGAGGGGCTGCGAGCGATCGCACCTTCCCCCGCCCGGACACACGCGGTCTGCGGGCGGAGGCGGCCGCGGTGAAGCGGCCACGCGGGAAAGGAGATCCGGCCGCCGGGTGCTCGTCTCGAGCTCCCCTGCGACCGGAAAAAACACACACAGGACCGCCGAAGATGAACTCTGCGGTCCCGGAGCTCGGGGATCGAAGGAGGCAGAT